TGTACCGCTACGTCTTCAGTTAAAAAGTTGTTGCCCTGTAGACGATGAACGTCGTACGTTACGTTGGTTCGTCATATCGTTACGCGGAGATGGTCCCACCGAAGATTCGTTGTCTAAAATTTCTTGGAGTATGGTTGTGCCATATTTTATTGTATCATTTCACTCTCACAGTCTTCTACCATGTTGATGCATGTATGCAGAAAATACCTCTAAAAATTAATGAGTAATTAATGGGTAAAAATTAATTAACAAACGCATTGCTGTGTACTGTTTGGCTATTTTATTGATTCCTTTAATACCATGGTATCTGAGGTTGCTTCGTGAGAATCGACAGACTGGGTTTAAATTAAAGTTTTTTGTTGATTTATTGAGTACTATGGATTCACGAATGCTCGACAAGAGTCTGACGCAGGGCAGAATCTGCATCAATCTTGCGTTTAACGTTGGCGAACCACTGGAAAGTAGGTAAAATAAACGTCGAGTTGTTACCCTTTCGTAATTAGACGATAAACGTTCATAACACTAGGTTTGTGATGTCGTTTTCGACAAAATCAATCAATGTCTTGTCCCTACTACGTGTAGAAGCGTTTATTGCGATTTGAGGCACCAAACAAATGACTTCTAACACAGGCTGGCTGAAAAGATTATAAATCTGTATTGGTGGAGCTGCTGTTGTAAAGCCGCGCTGAAGCCGTACCACCTTGTTTTCTGTTCATCTTGACTTATGTTCTCTTTGGGATTAGCTCCTTAATTTTTCAGTTTTTCCTGTTACCTTTTCATCGATCGATCTTACTACAGCCTCGTTGGATGGTGGGTTTCTGTACGGTGTCTTTTGCTACTGCTGCCTGCCCCGTTTCTTTTGCTCCGCTGAGGCAAGTTGCGCATTTGAAGGTGGATAGAAAGTGGAGAGTTGAAAGAATGCTGGGGCGAGAAGGTGATGAAGGAAAATCGAATGAGTCTGAAAATGATGAAGATAAAAGAAAGAGAGACGACGATTCTTGATATCGACAAATGGGAGAAAAGGGAGGAAAAAAGTGGTTGGTGTAACTAATGCGCTCTGCCATTAGTGGACTTCTTTAAGTTCAAATAACGGAAACATTCTTCGACATTTTAGCGCTTATTTAGGTTTACCGCAAATCGATGCAACCATTTTTTCGGTGATACTAAAATATCCAGAGAGTCAGACGTATCACTGCACGAAACTTGCGGTCGCAACGTCCCATGCATTCAATAGTTTTGTTATGACATTAGGTGATATATTCCCAAATGTACTGTTGTGTTCCGTGGGAAATCTTTTTTGCCTAAACGTACTTCATTTTTTCTCCCTCATTAATTCTTGTTCATGTAATGGTAATCAGCAAATTTAGCTGCGCCATTGTTCCATCTATTTTCAATTTCATTTACGCAGATCGTTGTTTGCAGCAGCTTTGGGAAGCTTTTCCAATGAATCTGCTTATCTGACAATCGAATTGGCTACTGATCTTCATTCGCTTATAATCCAGTACTCAGTGTAATCTAGCCATCTGATTGAGGGTCTGTCCCTTGATCAGTTGCCATGTGGTTTCATTTGCTTCGCCTACTTACTGGTGCCTTATATTGCAGTCATCTTTATTACATTGCCAAGTCATCGCAGTTATCTCTCGATTTGTAGAAGCAAAGATTCAGAAGCAGCGGTATTCTGAAGTCTGTCGAACCTCCTGAATCACCACTCGATCAGAGTACACAGTGGGTGATTGATGATAAGTTAATGTACATACCTGCTCTCCGCGTTACTTGCAATTCCATACTATGATGTGAAATCAAAGAACTGGTAATGGACAGGTATTGGCAAATGTTAATTCTATTAACCGTTGGTTTTGCTTGCTCCACTTATTCATGTCCAGTCAGTCATTCCTCAGAGGACATTTGACTCAGCTGCTGAAGCCCGCTCGATTCACCCGCCTTTCTTCATCGTGAGTACATGAGTCAGCGATACGATTACCTTGGAGGAAGCAGATTTTCCTCTGTTTATGATGTAGCTGATGTAACAAGGAAATTGAAAGGAAACATGGAGTCTCAAGACCATGGTTTTGAGCTTTTCTCAGCTATACTTCTTTCACGTAAAATACCATCATATAATTGGATTTTGTTTCGCACTCTGGATCTTCCAAGGGCCGTGTTGGATAGTAAAGAGTCGTCTGCGCATTTCAAGCAAAAGTGCCTCTTAAATCCCACTTGCATGAGCATACCCCCGAGCATCTGTTCATATGAATCATGTCAGAAAATGGACCTAATTTTGTAACCGTCTCAGCCATCTGTAGATTATCTTATGGCTCCACGTTATTGAAAGTGTTCGGAATATCGCGCTGCTGCTTCTCGTTCTGCCACATGGTTATCGCTGCTGAAAAACGGTTTGATGACGATTTGCCTGTTATTTTGAGTCTTCAAGTATCTATTAACTTTATATTCGTTTTCTGAACATTCAAATTTAAATATATTAAAGATGCATAATATATCACGCGATTTCGTACTGCTACTGATACCTTGCATGGGGTGCCTCCTGGATTCATACTGTAATGTAAATATCCAATAATGATGCCAAATGTCAGATATCAGCAAATATCTAGGGTGGATGGCCGAACTCTGGCTGCTTACTACATTTCCAAGCCGCAGACATTGTCGCTTCGAGCTGTCTACCTTTACAAACACAAAGGGTCTTTTCAGAGCTACTGCGTAAGATAAGTCAGGTATAGTGTGTCCTGGCGAAAGTTACGCTTAAGAAAATCCATTCGAGTTTACTGCTCGTTGAAACGCGGCCATTCACAAATGCATGGCCAACATTTTATGTGAATCCTCCTTTCTGAAGCCTTGTCGTTGAAGACAGACATCATTCGAGACTGTTGTGCCTACGGTATGTGCAGAAAGTTTTCTTTCGACTTGTCTTTCTGCGTTAACAATTTTGTATGGAAGGTAGAAAAAAATAGTGTACCCGCATAGGAGTATGGCACTCGTCCGTCGACTTTTGCCCCTGACACATCGTTTTGTCTAATCTTTTTCACATGATGACACGTTCACGTTCCGTATTTGTCCGTAGAAGCAAATTGATAGCTGTAACCGGTATGTTGCGATAGAATCAGTTCCTAACATGTAGAATCACTCCTGATTCGTCTTCGGTGAGTAAAATGAAAGAAAGCAAATTTTATATTGCTGTATGAATCAGCTCATACTGTACTTTGAAATGCTGGTTTGTTACGTATGTATGTATCACCAGCGTTTTTCGATCTGCTCGATGAACGTTTCTCGAAGACCTGTTTTCTGTCATTTTCATTCATCTTAAAACCGTGAACTTCGTTAGCCCATCCTGCCGTCGATCTGTTGGTCTTCCTGTGAGTTTTTACTCAAGTTTAACATCTCTGGTCCTGCAACGGTCTGTTCTTCTTGTAATGTGTTAATTCCATTGCATTTTCATATTTTCAATCGTGCAGTAATATCGTTGACTCTTGCTTGAATTCCTATATTCCTTAATTCATTTACATGTATTTTCGTATTCTCACCATGCCCTGCGCTGTACAGTCTGACGTTAGCTTTAAAACTTACAATCAACGTTGTGCACCCATAGGTTAGCACTGAAAGAACACGTTGATCAAAAAAATTTTTGTTTCAAGCACAGGGGCTGTTTTTCGGGTAAGAACATTATTAGTCTTTCAAAAGTGCTCTATGCTCCTTTTACTTTTCTCTGGTTTTCACTTTATCTGTACTCGGTAGCAGTGATAAATAGTTTTGCACTTCTTAAAACAAGTCCATCGCGTATTTGAATATGTTTTTGAATACGACATGAGTCTTCTTCAGGTTAATTTTCAATCCAGCGTTCATGATTTTTATTTGGAGTACTTCTGCCACCATTGAGAAGATCATATTCTCGTCCGCAAATTGCAGGTAGCCCCTTGAACTTCTAGGGTTGCTGGTAATAATTTCCATGATATTGTATTTCCCTGTCAGACGACGTTTTCGATTTTTAACTTGCTTGTGTGCTTTTATAAAGTTTCACTTTATTTGTTGCATTCTTTTACATTACGGCGATTATGTTTATCTATCTGTTATTCCCTGATTCATTAAGGAATTCAGTGTAGGACGGATACAGACTGAGTCGAATGTCTCGAAATCGACAAACTTATCTGAATTGCTTGTTGTACCCCTAAAGATCGGACTAACTCAACTTCTGAATCCTGCTTGATCCTTTGGCTGTGCAGCGTCAAATTTTTTTTAAAGGCTGTTTATCTGTACTTGTATGAAAATCTTGTATATCATTTGTAATAAATTGATCTGCCTTCAATTCCTGTCTCCATTTTCATACAGTAAAATCATTGATGTGGTAGTCCGCGCTTGAAAGTTTCATTTCTTTCAGACTGTTAAAGAAAGCTTTCCAATATATTGATCAGTGTTTCCGTGCCTGATTCCAGGAGTTCAAGATTCCAAAGTAATGCTCTCTTCGCCACGAGCCATTACTTGTATATATAATGTGTATTTTTTGGTAAAATTACAAACGAGCGGCGTTATAACATGGCATGGAATCTTCATTTATAGACATTCGATAGATGCTCACTTTTTGGAATAAATTACATCTGTCTTCAGACTCGCAATGAGATTTGCACAGAGCATTCTATGCGGATTTGGTTAACCCATGTGATTAATGGTATCGCATTTGTCGGTGGGCCTAAAACACCATTTGGTTTTCGGCCTTGTTTTCCTGGCATCCGACCCTAAATAGCGAGTGACGCAGCTGGTTTCGCGGATCAGTAGCATTCCCCTGACTTTACAATTAAAATACTGTTTTTATCGCGAGAGCCTTTCTTCTGCTACCAAGGTATGATGTGTTGATGGATCATGACATCTTTGTTGTAGTGTAGCGTTTTTTATAATCTGTTTTTATAAACTTAAAATTTTTTGGTTGTGTCCGTCCTGTGCATACTTGCTAGAGGTCTTTTCCTCTCGTATGTACCAGAATTCTTCCATCTGGTGAGATGATCCTTTGTTTTCTGTTTCTCTTTGCTCAGTGGCGTTTCCTGTTTCTTTCTTGTATACCGAAAGACATCGGTAGGTGTTCGTGTACATTCGACTTCTGCTTGTGCTCCTCTGGTTTTTTTGTCTTCGGATGCCTGTGGTGGCCATGAGGTGTTATGCCGTGTTTGTGCAGTGTTCAGACCAGCTTTGGAAGCGGCACGTCAACTTTTTGCTCAGCGTTAGAACTTGAACTCAGCAAGTGACAGAAAGATATGGGCTGTTTTGACAAGTTTGCCAGGACATTTTACATCGTCATTGCAATACCGTTTTTTGGCCGAGTCAGTCTGATATCATTTAGTTCTTTGTAACCTTGTTAGGAACATTTCAATAACCCCTTTTCAGTCGTAAGTTTCTTCATCAGAGAGAAATGAGAAAATGGCTGCTTACCGTTTCTTGATGTGCTAGTGAAATTCCAGCAGCAAACCATTCAACAACAGTGCATCATAAGAAAGCACATACAGCTCGGTATCTGTATTACTCTTTTTACTATCCAGAAGGGAAATGCGTAAAGTTGGGTGTGTTATTAGTCCACCTTTAGCTCATTTTTTTGGCAACTTATTTTAGAAAGGCATCTTTTTCGAAAATCTACATTTTCTTCGCATGATCATTTTGTATCTATTTGTTTGCTATTTTTCATAGATTTTGATGATTTTCTGTTGCTCTCTGTTTCTGCTGTACTTGAATTACTTTATACTGTGGCATTCTTTGTAAAGTTTTCAATTTATTGATTTTTTTTATATTTTAGATCATGCGTGGCTTTTGGTCACAATTGCAGGAGTATGGGCACCGTAGCTCGACAGAAGATGCTTACCAACATTCGAAACACCATATTTGGTTTCAAGAATCTGATCGGCCGTTGTTTTAATGATCCGGTAGTGCAGCGGGAAATGGAATGGTTGCCATACACGATCATCGAGCTTCCCGGCAACGTGATCGGGATTCAGGTATGAAGCGGTGTAACAACGCGCATGATTGATCTTCAGGTGGTGGCTGCACATCATGTCTGATCTTCAGGTGGAACATGCAGGCGAAACGCGCGTATTCACTCCGATTCAAGTGATGGCCGCGCTATTCACCAAGTTAAAAGACATAACGGAGATGTATTTAAAGGCGAAAGTGCACGACTGCGTTATTTCGGTAAGTGTACTTAACGGCTTCCAGTTTTGGACGTTCTGTGACTACTTGTTTGCTGCTACATTTGTAAAGGGAGCTACTAATTACGTGCAACTAATTAGCTACTAATTTTGTGTAGCATTATATGTTACAAATTCATCCAACAGCTATCGTGTTAGTAATATTGAATGAGTGTAGAAGTTAATATTAAGTACATTTCATAAATGGTTTCCTCAATTTTTATATTATGCAGATTTATTCTTGGTCCATATCTCCACATAATGCTGGCATACGTACGTTGTTCATTTTCACTTCGGCCTTCAGTTGAATTCTTCTAGCCATTGGCCGCATATGAAAGTTTCGATGCATATGCCCTTGTTTCTTGTCGACTGCTCTTCGGCTTGATGTTCAAGTGAAAACGTTGATGATATTGCAAAATGATCATGGCCCAAAAGTGTGCCGGTTTCATTATAGGGTTGATTAAGGGCAATCACTCTGTGAAAACCTTTGAATCGAATCTTTTGGCTGTTTTGATCCTTCCTTTTACGGCATCGATCGTACTTATGGAACGTAAATTCATGCGGTCTTCCATTTACAAATGATGTTCTCGCCTATGACGACAACGTCTGTATTACTCCATTAGTACATAGTCGATTTGGTTCAGAATCTTTCCGTTTGGTTTTCTCAATGTCCGCTGTCGATTTCGAGCTTTCTGGGAAACGGCGTGGAGGTTGGTTTGGCGAAAATTGCGAACCAATGTCACATTCACTTCTTTCGACTTCTTTGTGTTTGTCAGTTAGCAGCTTCGTGTCTTTCGATCCTTCCCCAACTACTGCATTGATGTCTCCTTGGAGATTCTTGTACATAGTCTTCTTCTCCACTACGTCTTCGAATATCGCGTGTGTAGAATCGTTCGATCTTTAATCTCTCTGCTTGTTGGGTTGGATTGCAACCTCGAATTATTTAATGTTGTTTCTTGATAGATAAATCTTTCTTTTAAAGTCTGACTGGTGTATTTAGAATCTTTGTTTGCAACTGAGCCGTGATTTTATACTGTGTTTATCCTGAATCATCTGATTGTTTTATCTTCCTTATAGTAGTGAGTTAATGTTAGTAATCCAGCATGAACATTCTTGTGTTATCTCTGAACGGCGGTTCATCTCTGTGTTTAGGTTCCTTGTTTCTGGACTGATGCCCAGCGAAGATCGATGCTAGACGCAGCGAAGGTTGCAGACTTGAACTGCCTGAAACTGATCAACGAAACTACTGCTGTAGCGCTCAACTATGGTCTGTACAAGTCTGATTTACCGAAGGAGGATGAAGATCCTCGTAAAGTTTTGTTCTTCGACATGGGTCAGACGTCCAGTCAAGCATACATCTGCGCATTCAATAAAGGTCAACTTAAGGTAAATAAAGTAACAGTCATCTGTCTGCAGCCAGAGTTATTTGTTGAAGATGCTCGGTGTCGCATGGGACATGAACCTTGGCGGTAAAGACTTTGACAGCGTGTTGTGTAACCACTTTGCGGACCAGTTCAAGGCACAACACAAGATCGACATTCGAAACAATCGCAAATCGGTTATCAAACTGCAGGAGGCATGCGAGAAGTTGAAGAAGCAGATGTCGGCGGATCCGAACGACATCCCGATTTCCGTCGAGAGTTTGGCTCAGGATTATGATTTTTACAGTAAGATGAAACGGTAAACGTTAACTTCAAAATCAGCATGTCGCACGTTACGCTTGACTGCATTTTTCGTTTCAGACAACAGTTTGAACAGCTGTGTGAACCGCTCTTCGGCAAGGTTCAAACATTACTGGAAAGACTCATTAAAGAGACGGGTAAACGGCGATTTTTTGTTCGTCTGTTTTTACTTACTTATCACATGTTTCTTTCACAGGAATTTCGCCCAATTCTCTGTACTGCGTGGAATTAGTCGGCGGTAGCACCCGTTTGCCGATGGTCAAAGCGATTGTTTCGCGGATGTTCGGCAGAGAACCGAACACTACGCTGAACCAAGACGAGGCTGTGTCAAGAGGTTGCGCTCTTGAGGTATGTCTGATGCTTAAAAAATTCTTTTTAAATTCTAAGTCTGTAGCTGTCGATGTTTTTGATTTAATCGTTTATAAATTAGATGCTTTTTCAAGGAAAAAATGGCACTGTTGTATGTAAAAAATGCCTACTGAATAAATTTGTTTTCATTGCAAATAATATTAGCATAATATTTTGATTCAGTGGCGCATCTGTCAGAGATTACATTTTCAGATCTCGCTCGCTAGAATTTTTCATGGAATTAGCTATTCGGGCATATTCAACATGATCAGTGCTAAGAACTCCGCAGGGCCTATCCACGGTCAGGTTTGCTTACCTTTCTTCATTCCGATTTTGAAAATGGATACCACTCTCTGGGAGGGAAAAATAGATCATGCATTGTGCTTGCCACACAGCTGTAAATTCTGCCTTTAAAATAAAGCACTTACGACTTACGGCTTAAAAACGGAAATCAGCGCTTAACCATTGATTTATGAAATGAGGGGCGCTAGAATGGTCACATCATGAAAGTTTTAGGAAGAATGACATTCTAACAAGTACAAACTGATTTTCCTTTTTTATATTTTTCAATAATCTTTAAGTATGGAATTACTTTACATAGTAACTTGACTGTATTCGTTTCATAATATTCATTACGGTAAATGACCATTTAAATGCTATCAATTTTCGTTTAATTATATCAGTAAATTGAATTCAGTTAAACAATGCACGTTCAAGTTAAAGCCATTGAAGGATCTTCGAAGTTTCTTGATTGCGTCATTCCAAGTTCAGAAATAACTTGTCTTGTAGATGAATGGCAGCATGACCTCATCTTTTTCCAGCTCTCATTTTGCATGTCATTTTTAAGTTTTCAATTCTAGTTCTGTAATTGAAATTTTTCGACATTTTTTTATTATTTAAAGACTGATTACGATCTAATGTCCATCATTTTGGCCTTTCTTTGCATTTATGTTCGGGATCATTATTTGAGACAGAACGTTTTGACGGATTTTAAAAAGCGGGTCTCCACTTGGAACATCGTCAACAATGACTATGATTAATACCATAAAAGCTGATTATTTCGAAGTTCACAATAAAATTAATTCTATGCGCTTCATACCTGCGGCAATTTAGGCTAAATTCAAAGTTGTTTTATAGGAAACAGGTTCACCATATATTTATTTGTACTGAAAACAAAACGGCTTGAATGCTTTTCTGGGTGCAGTCGCGCGTTAGGAATATCGGTAAATGTATGAAGTGTGAATAAGCGTAAGCAATAGATCAGTATCCGCTGTATAAGGTCGCTAAAACTGACTCTTCGTCAGGGCGCCATCGTCATCTAGCAATAAAATATAACCGTATAAGTCAGTCAGTCATTTTTTATCTGCATAGAACTAGATAATGGAAGTAATAGTTAATCGTTTAGACGAAACAATTTTGCAAACATTTTTTCATGTATTTGGTTTCGATTTTTTGAAGTGAACTGTTTTGATATTAGGAGCACGGGATTAAATATTTTGAATTACAAATTGTCATCGTTTTTAAAATTCAGTGTGAATTTATTTATTTGATGTTAAATTTTGAAGTTAATATTATACGCAAATTTTAACTTGACCATGTTTCACTGGTTTTTAACCGTTGCGATTTTGCTTTACCGTATTCTCTCCTATGCTCGATAATCACTTTTGCGTTCATGTTGTTTGCGTCTCGTCGGCGCAATGTCACGGCGACTGCGTATCGTATTTAATTGAGCCGTTGACTTGGCTAAAAAGAATTATCGTGTGACTTGAATCCAGCTGATGCCTGCTGTTGTCAGAGCCTAGGAATCTTTCGTTAAGATCGCAATCTGCAGGTGCACGACTGCAAACCACTGTAGCCAAGCTGGCATTAGTGTCTTCTACATTGGATACAAAATCAGACGTTTTTTATTTTCAAAAAAACGTGTATTCATTCTTTTTTTAATTTAACGCTGTATTGTTTTATATTTTATTTTGGCCGTTATATATCATTAGCTGGACGCTAGCTACGAGTCGACATTAATGCAAATACAAACTTTAACTTCAATTTTTGGCACCGGTCTTTCATGGAGTTTCTCGCCAGATGTTGTACGTGTTTCGATGTCATCAATGACAACCGGGTTGTTTCAAAACAATAGTTGGGATTAACTTGCCATTATACAGTGTAGTGGCTTGCATCCTCACTAATTATATGAGTTGTCGCCAGTTGGGTTGTGTTAATTATTCTGGAACTAAAAATTTAATATCACTAAACGGATACAAATAGTTTTATTCCTACAGTAATTTATTTTTCTTTGATCAGTGACCATGTAAATCCAAGAATCACGAGATTTATCATGGTACCTTTCTATTATAAGCATTCAACATGTTCTTGTAAATTGAGCAGCTGATTGAATTAATACTATATTTCTGCTTTTCGCAAAAATACTTTTGGAAAGTTGATTTGCTTGAATTCCAGTAAATACGTAAACATTATTTTCAGTGTGCAATATTGAGCCCGACTTTCCGTGTTCGCGAATTCACAACAACCGATGTTCAACCATACGCAGTCACCCTTACATGGTCGGGAGACATGGAAGACGAAAAGTAGGTGTTTTCGAACAGAAAATAATTGAATTTT